ATCAATTACACTCATAAATCTAGTTTTTGATGGGCTTTAACCTGGTATAAATACTTTCTGATATTATCTGTCCTTTAGGTCGTGTAGGGGGGGAGAAAAAGGTTATGTAACACCCTGTACATGCAGCAACTAGATCAGAAACGGAGTAGCTCAAGCATTGCTCTTTTGACCTGAAATTATTACGCAGCATGCCACGAGTCTAACCTCGATTTGTCACTTCAAACAGACTTCATTCATCTACATTTCTTCTAATTATTATAGACTTTCTCTTTTACCTATGAACAAACTATTTCGAACTTGTACAGAAAGAGAACCGCTCTTCGTTAACGGAAAACATTGCTTCGAGAAGGAACAAAACATTCTTCATAGACTGATGATATATGATTGGCAAGGAACTTGATTACGTCATATATCGATGACTGCCAACATACAAGTCGTCTGATGCTGTACGATGGTACACTAGAGAGTGTTTTCTCTACAAGATGCTGAACAAAGCACTTCGCGTTCAGAACATTGACATTCTCTTCGCATTTCGATTTCTAATCACCGATATTCACAACCAGCTCATAAAAGAATCGTCCAACACAAATATCGGTCGATTATACCGAGGTCAAGTGATATCAAAAGATGAACTTGATTGCATGCGTTCAAGTACTGGTGAATTCATCTCGATCAACTCTTTTCTATCCACAACTCGTAGTCAGACGAAGGCACTTCAATTTGCTCAAAGTACTCAGTGTGAAGATCTTGAATATCTTCTCTTCACAATTAAAGTCGAGAGTCGAATAAAAGCAAAACCGTTTGCCGATATTTCCCGGGTGAGTTATTTCTCTGGTGAAGAGGAAATCTTGCTTATGCTCGGTTCGATCTTTCGATTTGAAAGTGTCCACTACGACAAAGAACAGCAAATCTGGATGGCTGATTTAGATTTATGCAACGAAGATGACCATGATTTGAAACAAGTGTTTGGCTATATGAAGAAAGAAATGAGGAGCGAAACTACTCTCATTTCACTTGGAAATTTGTTGTATAAGATGGGTGAATTGGACAAGGCCGAAAAATATTATAAACGATTGTTAAATGAGCTGCTAGTGGGTGATTCTGATATTGCTTTGTGTTACACAGGACTGGGTCTTGTACACCAGGACAAAGGTGAATATGATTTAGCTTTGATGAATTATGAAAAAGCATTGAAAATCCAATTAAAAGCTCTTCCACCCGATCACCCTGTTATCGCCTCATCATATAACAATATGGGTCTTGTACACGGGGACAAAGGTGAATATGATTTAGCTTTGATGAATTATGAAAAAGCATTGAAAATCCGAGTAAAAGCTCTTCCACCCGATCACCCTGATATCGCCTCAACATATAACAATATGGGTCTTGTACACTGGTACAAAGGTGAATATGATTTAGCTTTGATGAATTATGAAAAAGCATTGAAAATCCAATTAAAAGCTCTTCCACCCGATCACCCTTATATCGCCTCAACATATAACAATATGGGTATTGTACACGGGGACAAAGGTGAATATGATTTAGCTTTGATGAATTATGAAAAAGCATTGAAAATCCAATTAAAAGCTCTTCCACCCGATCATCCTTCACTCGCCTCAACATACCGTAATATAGGACTCCTGCATGAAGGAATTCGTATGTGGCAATCAGCGTTAGAATATTATAACAAAGCAGCTGCAATAAGACGCAAATCACTTCCAACAACGCATCCACAGCTGGTAACGACTGAGAACGACATTCTAAGAGTAAAAGCTCTGATAAAGTAGACATTTATAATGGCTGCGTGTTATTAGCGACTGTCGGTTGTTCTTCTAGTTTTCAGGAAGTAACCACAACAAGCATTCTGATGCTCGCTCAGTTATCAGATTCGTCGATTATTCCGAGAAATACTGATTTCAAGTTTTACATTATCACCAATGAACTATGATTATTAGTGGTACATTATAGATTAGTAGTTAGAATTGTTCATCAGTGATCACTACAGACGCTGTCCGAGATTAGATTGGAAAGGAACATTTCCAGACACTGAGTTTCGCAAAATCTCTCGGTCAGATTTTTGAGACCTAAGGTCCTTTCCAGCATGTCTGAAGAACTTTTCATTTTTGACTTTTCGCAAACTCACCTGGTAATATGTAATCGATCACGCTGATCACGAATATCCAGCAAAAATTCGCCTTTGGTATCCTTATGGAAAATGGAAAATTTTATTTTTGTATGTTGCACTTTTACCTGGTGGTTTTGGCCTAAACTGTCAAAATAAGTCATCTCAGGTGGCAACCATTTCAGAAAACTGAGTTTTAAGGAAATTCATTTTTTCATTTTGATTGAGCGAATTCTTTGAATTGCGCTCTTGTAATTTTTATAATTTTGTATTTGGATTCAACATAACATTCTACATCTGAATCACTATCTATTTTGGTTTCTGTATGGTTCCTCGGTTAGGAACCTCTAAATACCCTTTTTAGCGGAAAACAAGAAAATTGAGGTAAACTAACTATTACTGAAGATTATTTCCAGACACTGAGTTTCACGAAATCTCTCGGTCAGATTTTTGAGACCTGAGGTCCCGTCCAGCATTTCTAAAGAACTTTTGACTTTTGACTTTTCCTAAACCTACCTGATAATATGTAATCGATCACGCTGATCACGAATATACGTATTAGAAGTGTTCGAAATGGTTGGATAAGGCGTAATCTTCAGTTTACCTCAGTTTTCAGAAACAGTTTTCTTGTTTTCCGCTAAAAAGGGCATATCGAGGTTCCTAGCCGAGGAACCATCCAAAATCCAAAATAGATAGTGATTCAGATGTGGAATGTTATACTGAATCCGAATATTATAACTTTATTTATTTAACGCTAACAGCAAAAAATAAGAAGAGCAGGCAAATCGTATCCCTGGATCTATTCGACAAAATGAGACATTAAATAAAACAGATAAATAAAACAGATAAGAGAGTAGAAAGAAAAACATGAGAGATGGTGATAAGAGAAATAGAGAACTCCATCCATGTGACACTCTGTAAGAACAAACAATACAGAAGCATCAAGTCAATCAAAGCGTTTAGTTGAACGAATATATTGAAGAATAAAATTAAAAATTGATGAAGCATATCCTGTCATGGCTCTTCATAATCAATACATTCCAAAAAGAAGCGTTTTACTGTTTCCTTATCAGCGCCACAGTTATATGCCGAGGACTGTGTTAAGATAATAGTGAAAAGAGGTGTATTTAACTGAGGAGAATCTAGTCTACAGCGTGTATGGTGAATTTCAAGAGAACGGTCCTGCACTAGAGGAATATGAAAAGGTTGAACATATTGAGAAGTTAGGTAATATTTAATGTCTTTTAGATGGTGCAATTGTGTAGCATTGTCGTGCAGCATATTCCACTGTCGACTGCCTTCACGTATAAATGTTTTTTCAAGAAGAGTACGACCTCTAAAAAAAATAGGAGCATTTTAAGTAGCAGATCTCCTGGTGTTATTGGAATGATGACTGCGATTAGAACACAACTCAATAAGATAAGAGGGCACTCTACAATGCATAATTTTGCGAAATAAGCACATGTGCGTACATATAAAAGTTGTGAAATAGAGAGCCATCCAAGATCCTGAAGAATTTTACTCAGAGATGTTCCTCGCATCGCACCCGAAGCAGCAAGACCTGCTTGATACTGAATTTGGTTCAAGCGAATTATATTTGTAGTAGTTGTTCTTCCATAGATAACAAGTCCGTAGTTAATAACACTAAGAACAAACGCATGGTAGACTGAGACCAAGGTTTGACGGGAAACACGTCTGCTCAACTACGCGCAGTAGTTTAGTGCGAATACTATTGATATGAGGCAACCAGTCTAACGTTGATTCTAACGTCAAACCCAAGTGAACGTGTTTCCCAACATATTGTAGTGCTATATTATCAATAAACAAGGAAGAAGATGAAATAGGGTTTTATCATGGGAAAATAGCATAGTGACACACTTATTAATATTTAGTGGCAGAGACCACTGTTTAAACCAAAGATTGATTCTGTCCAAATCATCGTTCATAGTAGGGACAACTTTCCCTAAGTCATCCGCGTCACTATACAATGATACGTCATCAGCAAACAATTTACCAGTAGAAGTTAATCCCAGAGGAAGATCATCAATAAATATTAGAAAGAGGAGAGGACCTAGGACTGATCCCTGTGGAACACCACAAGAAACAGGCAGGGGATCCCAAGTAGTACCATCAACCATAGTAACCATTTGTCTGTTCGTTAGGTAGCTCCTAAACCAATTGATAAGATCATTCGAAATACCTTTACACTTTAGTTTCAGGAGAATCATGTGACACCTTGTCAAATGCTTTAGAAAAATCCTAAAAACCTGCTAACACTGGTTTGCCCTGATTAAGACTGTTTCAATAAGAACAACTATAGCAACAAGTTGATTTACAGAAGAATCATTCGGAAGAAATCCCGACTGATTTCTGCAGATTAAGCTATTGCTTCTAAGAAAGCCCAAGACATTTTTATAAACAGCTCTCTCAAAAACTGTTGACAATGCGCTCAAAAGAGTTATAGGCCTATAATTAGAGCAAATCTGAGGATCATCAGCTTTAAACAAGGGTAAAACATGTTCAGTTTTCCAAACACTGGGAAACTCCTTATTGTTAGTAACTCATTAAAGAGGTGAGTAACAATAGGAGCAATAATAACAGCAGCTGATTCCCTTTGCATTCTGTTAGAAATGCCAGGAGCTGTAAGCTTTACTTATGTCTAAATGTAAGAGAATTTCATAAACTTCAATTGCATGTATAACAAGGTTGGACATAACTATAGATGATTGAGGCAAAGTTGCAACGGAGGGACAAGTAGATAATGTATCAGCTGTACATATTTTAGCAAAATGGCGATTTAATACTTGAGCACGTTCAGCCGATGATGAAACAATTTGATTGAATGAACAAGCAATCAATGGAAGAATAGTGGAATTCTTCGTTTTTCCAATAGAATGGTTTAGTAAGCTCCACCAAGACTTCGAGACCATCCGTGGCTTTCAGATAAAATTCGTAGTATTATTCGTTTAAAACAAAAATGTTTTCGTCGTTATAGAGTCACTTGGGGTAATTATGGCCAGCACCTCAAATTTTCATAGTATTTTGAGCATATTTAAGCCGTTTTCAAATGGACATAGACGAAATTGACCATGTAGGTAGACCTGACTCTTGGCTAT